CTGACCTTAGCCCTTGTGACTACCATGCTTTCAGGAGTCTCCAGGCTTACGCTACGGGGGATGTTCAACAACCATCAGGATGTCAAGCGTATGGTCGATGAATGGATTGCGTCCCGGCCTGCTTCCTTCTGGAAGGAAGGTATCGATGCCCTGCCCAATCGGTAGAGAGACGTCGTGGCTAAGAAGGGCTTTCGCTTTTCTTGTTTTTAATATGTGTTGAGTAAAATGAGCGAATTTTCTCGAAACTTTCCGGACACCGTAATACTACGTGTTTCCTACAAGGTAACCTTATGACTGATGATTCCTCCCCTTTCAGTTTCTCTCAAATTCCAAACGTCATATCCAGTCGATCGCAATCAAGAGCACTGTGGCAGTATTCTGCACAAGTCTAGGTGAGTGAAATAATTATACTACTACTGGCGCTACTATTCTGCATCATGTTTGCTCGTATGCGCCCTCTCGTCGAGACAGTGTTGGGTGGTTTATTCCTTCACGGTATTATTCGGATGGAAGTATTATTATATTATTATTTAGTATATTTAGTATTTATGGAAGTATTAGTACTTATTGAAAACCCCTCCCTTCATCCATAACGAAATGTGAAGGTCGCGCGGGTATAGTTAACTCATGCCACTATATTTTTTGAAGGATTAGGGAGGGTATGTGCGCCACTTCCTTGTCGCTTTCCCGTACAGGGCATGCATTGGTTTCTGTAAAAATACAGTACCTCCGCTTACACCCCCTCCCCCTTAACAACCTACTCTCCTCTACAAGCTATCGATCATATTATCAAATCACCCCGACAACTTCCTGTTGAGCGGTGGGGATCATCCATCGTTTTTCTCACACCACCACCTATAGGTAGAGAGTATAGCGCATGAGAAAGGGGGAAAATTAACGATCCGGGCTAAATTCCACCCCCCCCCCAGTGACCAAACACGACCTCTTCGGCGATGCTTGACCTGGGGCATGTCCTGTTGCCGCTAAAAGAAGATGGGAAAACACTCAGAAACTATTTCAAATACAATCGCGGTGGATAGAGCCGTACAAGCAGACATAGCGCAGCACAATCGCACCACCCGCATCTACCCATTCCCTGAATTTGATATGATCTTGTGGCAACCCTGAACAACACACTTTCAGGTGACCTCGTCCTGATTATGGTCCTGGGATCTCAGCAGTTGTACTGGATTCTATATGAAGGAGATCTACTGGATCCGCCGACATTCTGGCTAGCATACAAAATTGGCAGAGACCTGCACAACATTGCAACGCCATGGGCTTTCTTACTACTGTTCAAAAAAGTGAGTTTTCCACATACGTACGGTATTTCAGGGAAATTCAATCACTGTTTCAGCTACGACATTCCATCATAACTGGTACAGCATCAAGAAATTCTAATACACCTCACATTCCCACTGCTCAGAAAACATAAGCAATACATATGGTTAGCATGAAGCCAATCGATATCCATGCTTTATGTGGACGAGCTGAAGGTGAGTTGAAGTTTCCGGGCAGAGAAATGGGCGAAGACTTTACCATTGTGCCTTCCTCATTGCGCCATCTCCTTCAGCTTGTTTTGAAGACAATGTGCATCCATGAGAAGGCGCAATAGTGCTAGTTCTCCCCGAGTTAACGTCCTACACCCTTACATACGTGTGCTCATTGATGTTACGCGCCATGTCATTTCGAGGTAACTTTTTCAGCACAAGTAGGGAGCTCGACTTCTGGCACCTAGCTGCCAACGAAGTCCGTCTATTGTACAAATGGTGAAGAAGTCTATGAGTTCCAGTACGCTATCTCTGAAAATCTGCTACCTGTATCTTCTACGAAGACGGATAAAAATTTGCACCGATCTCGAATTGCTCAATTAATCCTTCTAAGTCTTTTACGAAGATTTTTTCGGCGCGGTTCGGCTTGGTGAGGCATTTTGTTAGTTTATCTGGATCCCTGCGATACCCCTGTGGGAACCTGTGGATTTCTGTAATTTCTGTATTTCTGTATGCAATAACTAGAGCTTCATTTACACTTGAGAGGAATCTGCAGATCTCACCGAAGTGTAACATGAGATTCCACGGCCGGGAACTAGCAAAATGGGCCGGTGTAACATGAGATTCCACGGGGACTAGCAAAGGAACTAGAGGAGATGCAAAGCGCCCTTTTCAGGCTGAACAGCGTCTTTTCCTTAAGGAGTACACATTGCAATAAATATTCCTGAGGATCATAATTCACTGTTCTCTTCATATACTCTTTATCTAGACGGAGTAGGCGTGGCGTTTGAACATGGTTACTCGTGGGATATTTCAGTTTGAGACAACTGTCATCTTGTTCTGTGTTGGACAGAGACATGACCACATTGTGTCAAAATGAAAATATCTCACCAAAAGCACAGCCACCGCACGTTTAGTTGAAGTACGCAGCCACGCCTACCTACATTTCAGGGATTTCAATTGTTAACCTTTTCCGGACTGATGACTCGTGTTTTGCATGCGAATTGCCATTTCAAGGAGATTTCTGAATAAAATGTTTGAAGCGTGTAACTCACTTTATCAGTATGGCTTTGATTTGCATGTTTACCAATGAAGTTAGGAAGTACTCTGTCTTTTCGATTTGGCTGGAGCGGTCTCAATTCGCTCATGAGTTCCCTTATCCTTCCTTTATCACACTGTCAGCCTACAGTCTTGCTCGCTCTAGATGAAGGGGCGTGTCAGGAGGAATGAGTTTGGCGCAGCTCCAACCTTTCCACCAGTGTTGATGCGAGCAAGCGGCAGTACCGTATCATATCGTCAGTCAATTTCCACCGCTTGTCATTCACCCGCTTCAAATGCTAGTGGTGAACTGGCTTGGCGCCGCCTCAAAACCATCCCGCTTGACACACCCCTTCATCCGCAGCGGACAAAATTTTACCTCTTACAGCTTCTTACCCAACTCCCTGTTACCCGTCGCCACAGCTAGTTTAGCCGTCGAGTGAGATTTGACGCTTACAGTATCAAATTCGAGATGGCGTGTGTTTACATGCTATAATTTTGGCTATGTCGATCTACACACACGTGCACCACATCACACTTCTCGCACTCACATGTACCCACCGCACCCTCTCACAGACCCA